TCTCCACTTTGTTCTGCATATTTGTTGGGCCATGGGTTCTTGGTTGGTTCTCGCCAAGCCAGAGTTCCTTGTTGCTTATTCTTTCTGGACATCTGATCTGATCAGTATGGGGTGAGCGTAGGCGGCAGCTATTGATGATGTCTGTAGTTTGTTGGAAATGCTTTTCGTAACACGCCAAGTCTCTTAACCATCATATAGAAACACTGACTTAAACGACTTAGTGTTAAAAATCTGGGCTTGTTCATGCTTTAAGTGTAGTGTGGTGCGGTAGGTCTCTACACTAATTTCAGGTTAATGAACGCCTGTCTTGTTTTTCAGATCCTGACTTTGACGTCCTTATCTGTGCCTGTGCCACCGCCTGTAGTTAAAACGATGCTGCCTAGATAGGTGAAAGAGGCTACTTTCTTTAGATTTCTCCCGTTGATGGTGATTGGTGCTTGTTGTTGTCTTTGTTGTTGGTTGGGTATCTTCATCACCTCTGTCTTCTCTACGTTCACCTGAAGGGACTCCCGTCTTCGTTGCCTCTCATATTCTGCCAACTTGTTAGTTTTCACCTGTAGGTCTTCGAGTTTGTGCCACAAGACATAAGACATGAATCATCATGGGAGAAATCCAAAATGTGTAGGGTCTTTTCATCTGTCAAACAGCCAGCGTATACCCATCTTCTCGCTCCTCACAGTTTCTTGCATGATCCAGTCGAATCGAGTCGAGTCAACCGCAATCAGGAAGACGATCGATGGTAGTAGGCGGCAACCTTGTCTTGTCTTACTCCTCTCTTCACTTCAAAGGCTCACTGAGCTTCCATTGTAGATCACTTGGCATGTCGCGTCGTCATATAGCTGTTGAATGAAGTTGATAAAGGTTAGTGACACTGGAAGCGTAGTGTTGAAGCAAGCAGTTGCCAAATTACTTCTCGATCGACGCCTCTATGGAAGACGTTTTCAAAGTGGATGAAGTTGAGGTATAGGTAGAGTGGACTGTGATCTATTCTGTGTTCATTGGTGATGATGCGTAGCGTGGCACAGTGTTGCAATTTGATCGTCACATGATTTGTTCTTCGTGAAGCCAGCCAGCCAGCCAGCCAGCCAGTGTGTTGTGGTTGTAATTTTGAATGAGAGCATTGTTTAGTCTCTCCAGGATGATGCAACTTAATATTTTGCTTGGGGTGAATGTTGGGGTCAGATGAAGGATACTAGGTAAGGCAAGCAAGTTGATTGATGAGATCGATTGATATGGCTTAGACACGTACTGCACATGTCTGAGCCGTATAGGCGGAGATGTATACTGCCTGACTGGGTTACCCGAGATGAAATGAATCAGTGAATGAGGACTCTTGGTGAAATGTCTAAAAATCGGTCACAATGACACAAATGAATTCACTATCTAGTTTCTTCTAAAACTTGAATATATGCACTAACTATTATCTTCAGATTGTTCACTCTCTCACACAACTTGAGCCGATTCAGGTGTATACGACGTTCTACGTTGATTTTATCTGTCAGTCATCTTGATCGCTTAAACCTTCATCATCTACTATGAATCGAACTACATCTGTACGATATAAGGAAATGTTTTTTAGTCTGGTTGTATAATGTCGGCTTCTCATTTTTCGCATCATCACAATACTACTAGCTGAACAAAACTTGGTGACTTGGTTGATCTTAAAGAAATAGTCATGTTATTGGAATCAAGTGTTCTCTGTGGAAGACATAGCGTAGTACTTCCCTTATCTATTTCCTCGGATATAAAATCTTCTGAAAACCTATTAAATATCATACTTTAGAGTTAGAATAGTGTTCTGTTTGTTGGGGGTACTTTAGATGTCATTAAACTACCAATCGAATTCCTTTCTGTCTAATAGAGTCCAACTGGTTACAAAAAATTTCAGTTTAGACACGATAGATAATATTTTTGGAAATCGATGCTGTAATTGGATTTCCATTTGTTCTCTTAGCGATAAAAAATTCTCTTGCATTTCATAATCTAACCATCTGTGTTTCTTCTGTAGCCTTAATTAACATTATTTATTGTTGTTGCACCACATTTTTGCTTGAAAAGGTCATTCAGCAGATCGTCTATATCATCTTTATATTTTTCTATAGTCAATCATATTGTCTTTCTAATGTGTTCACTTCATCTTAGTTGGATATCTTAAGTCATTGATATGGAAGCCACCTCGTTTCTATGCCGAAATGCCAATTTTTTCTTAGTAATGTAAAAATTCCCATTTAGACATTTAGTAAAACAATGGCTCTACCCTAATATATGTAGCATTCTCGAAACGTAAAATTACATACCAATCTAGTGGTGAGAGTTGTTTTCTGATGAAAGGTTATCAATCTCAAAGTATCAAGAAGGTGATAATTAATCAGGTAATGAAGACAATTAACTAAAGGATAGGAGATTAATTATAGTGGAAAGATGTTGTGGAATTTTAAACAGGTTGTCACATAATTGATATTTTGTATAATGATAACTAAATAGCGAGAGTGAACTGTTACGTAAAATGGTAAATTGTTGACGGTAATTAGAGACAGTAGGGGGAGAGAAAGATGGTTAAGTCTGTAATAATAATAGTAATAATAATGGAGCTATTGAAATATTAGTTATAGTGAATTGTGTGGTGGATGAAATGAAAAGTCTTGTTGTAATAAATGAGCTATACAGATGGCCAAGGCAAAGAAAGTGGCTGTACGAATCTCTTCTGAACACACAGACTTGGCTTGTTTACGTGGATTCCTATGGCTTCTGCTGTATGTAAAAGACGAACTCGTAGAGGATGGGTGAGGTTAGAAGGAATGTGATAAATAACTTTAAAGGTATTATGAATGTTAACTCGGTGTCAATCAGATGCTAGAGTATTGAGCTTCTTATCGATCTGGTTTCCCCCTTACTTAGCCATGAAGGGTGATGCTCGACGATTCGACGACGGACTTGCCTAACAGTACATCCAATGTAACTAGCTCCACAGGAGCAGTTGAACTGGTAAATGCACATAGAAGAGGAGAAGCCAGATAGTCTGTCTTTAGTTCGTGTGGTCATCATCGGCCTGCTGTAGAAAACGCAACATAACTTGGCGGCATTAAGTGATCTTCTCATGGTATTTCTTAAGCGTTGTGTCACAATTTCGCTGATGATATCACCTCGAAATTGTAGTCTTAGGAACAATGGTTTCTTGGAGACTGTAGGTATTCTGGTTTTTATATTGGATGTGTCCATATTTTTAGCCAGAAATGTTTCTGGATATCCATTACTACTGAGTAGATCATGGATAATTTGAAGCTGTTCGTCAAAAGTATCATCTGAACAGATGAGTCTAGCCCGACGGAAGATAGAAGAGACTCGTACAGCCTCTTTCTTTGCCTTGGCCATCTGTATACCTTAATTATTACAACAAGACTCTTCATTTCATTCATCCCACAATTGATTATAACTAATATTTTAATAGCTCTATTACTATTGTTATTATTATTATTACAGATTTAGCCATCTTCTCCCCCTACTGTCTCTAATTACCGTCAACAATTTACCACTTTACGTAACAGTTCATTTTCGCTCTTTAGTTACGATTATACAAAATATCAGGATTCGATGGATTCAAAACTACGACCGGAACAGGCTGGCTGGCTTCAGGAAGTACAAATCATGTGCGGATCCAATTGCAACGCTTCGCATCATCGTAGAACAGAGTATAGAATTTCAGTCAGCCGTCTACCTCAACTTCATCGACTTTGAAAAGGCCTTCGAAAGTGTCGACCGTGAAGTAATTTGAAAACTGCTTGCTTCAACACTACGGAATACCACAAACCTTTATCAACCTCATTCTATAGCTAAATTATATAAAGACGCCCTATGCCAAGTAATTCACAATGGGAAGCTCAGTGATGCCTTTTCGGAGTAAAGTGAAGACAGGAGTGAAACAAGGTTGCCTACTATCACCCATGATATTCGTGATTGTGTTGTGGTGGACTGGATCATGCAACAAACAGTGAGGAGGAGCGAGAAGAGGGGGATACGCTGGACCGCGGAAAAGAACCTAGAAGACTTGGATTTCACCGATGACTTGTGTCTAATGTCTTGTGGTACAAACTTGAAGATGTACAGGTGAAAACAACAAGTTGACAGAAGAGGCGAGGCAGGGCAGCGAAACCTGGACTTCAAGTGAACATAGAGAAGACACAGGTGATGAAGATAGCGCACCAACAATAACAACAAACTCCAATCACCATCAACAGGAGAAACCTAAAGGAAGTAGCCTCCACCTATCTAGGCAGCACTGTTTCAACTACAGGTGGCATAGATGAAGACGTGAAAGTCAGGATCGGAAAAGCAAGACAGGCGTTCATTAACTTGAAACCAGTGTGGAGATCTTCTGCACTCAGCATGTGGATGCGGATTACCAACGTCAACTCAGTGCTTCTCTGTGATGGTTAAGAGAGTTGGCGTGTTACGAAAAGCATTTCCAACAAACTACAGATATACATCAACAACTGCCTACGCTGGCTCGTTACTGAAGATCAGATGGCGAGAAATAATAAGCAACAAGGAATTCTGGCAACGAACCAACCAAGAACCTATCGCTCAACAAATATGCACTGAAGGGAAGTGGAAATGGATTGGACATATACACTGAGAAGGCCGACTGGGGATATCACGCATCAGGCCATCGAGTGGAACCTCGATGGGAAGCGACGAGTTGGGCATCCGAGGCTAGGGTGACATGGAGGAGATCATGCAAGGAGGATTTGTGGGCTGTTTTGGAGCCAGAGAGCACATTGTAGACGTGCTACTGAAGCCATATGTTCCATTAGGAATCCAAGGGACAAATAATAATAATATTCTTTAGTTAATTGTCTTCATTACCTGATCATTTACCACCTTCTTGATACTTTGAAATTGTTTTTCTGTTACTGATTAACTACTAAGTTAAGTGAGAGAGAGAGAACATAAAAAGTATTTCTACACTATTTGAATGTATAGTTTTTGTCAATTATATTTAGATTTGGTGAACAGTCTACTTTTATTGGCTCCTAATACAACAACATTTTGGAATTATAAACGTACAGCTTTATTGAATCATGAAGTATCAATCAATTCAGAGATGAAATTTACTCAACTGATACTCAGCAAATTTCCTCGTTCAAATGAGACTATATTTCATCGGTAATTTTTCTTTACCTTATGAATAGTTTATTTGACCAATAATTTTCTTTTTTTTTTCATTAATTCATAAAAAAACTAGTCAATGGATTATTGAAAACTTTAACTATATTGAGAATTATGATTTTCTATTGTATGAATTGAAGGTGTGTAATAAAATTGCTGATAAATATCGATGTCATTATGGTTTATGGCAGTATCGTCGGTTTATATTACATCAATTGAAACCTAAGGTAGGTTAGTTGTTAGTAATGGTGTACAAACATGCGATTTTCATTCCTATATTGTATAATACCTATATACTTATTGTCAGCTATATTGGATAGACTTTCTTCCTTTGTTTTTTTTCTTTTCAAGTATTTCTTTATTAGCTTCACGAAGTACAAATCATGTGCAGACCAAATTGTAACGCTTCGCATCATCATAGAACAGAGTATAGAATGGCAGTCAACTCTACACCTCAACTTTATCGACTTTGAGAAGGCCTTTGACAGCGTCGACCAAGAGCAGTAGCGCAAACCTTTATTCGCCTCATTCAACAACTATATGAAGATGCCACATACCAGCCAAGTAATTCACAATGGGAAGCTCAGTGATGCTTTTGAAGTGAAGACAGGAGTGAAACAAGGTTGCCTATTATCCCCCATGATATTCCTGATTGTGGTGGACTGGATCATGCAGCAAACAGTGGACAGCGAGAAGACGGGGATAGACTGGACTGCAGAAAAGAACCTAGAAGACTTGGATTTCGCCGGTGATGACTTGTGTCTGATGTCATCATCATCATTATCAACATAGGACCAGGCATTACTGCGTAACGGTCCGAGTTGCCACACCTCATATCAGCACATCAAGTAAAAAGGTAGTGAGGTGAAGGATGAAGATAAGTGAATGCAGTCAAAAGAAATATAAAGTACGAGAAGAAAGGAAAGATGAGTGACAAAATAGTGAGATTCGGTATAGCCTCGTTAAGATGAGGATAATGTGTGTATACATCTGCGCCACTGACTTCGGTTCTGAGCCATATCACCTAGGGTCTCCAACCACTGGTTCCTCTTGTCCCGTGGACCCCAACCACCTAGTCTGCATCGTCCTACATGGCTTAAACCAACAGTCAGAGACTTCATACATTGGTGCCATGTTTTAGTCTGGCCACCTCGGGCCTTTGTCCAGCCTGAACCCACCTCAGCCAACATTGTGTGACGAGGCAATCGGTGACTAGGCATACGTAGTACGTGTCCCAACCATCTCAGTCGATGAAGGTTCACAACTTCGTCGACTGACTTACCTCTTCTCCCTAAAACTCTACACCTAACTTCTGCATTACTCACATGGTGACACCACGGAATACGTCCTATACTACGAAGGCAATGGTGGTCAAATACCTGTAACCTTCTCATGTCTTCCACTTTCAATGGCCATGTTTCACAGCCATACAGTAGAACAGAGCGGACTGCTGTGCAGTACACGCGACCCTTAATAGACAAACGAATATCACGGCGGCGCCATAGGTGGCGCAAATTGGCAAAAGCCAATCGAGCCTCCTGTATCCGTGCAGAGATTTCATCGGCCACTGACCGACGCATCAGGGCTGATCCTACTTCCCAGGTAAGTGAAGTGGTCAACACACTCAACCACTTCACTCTCTATTGTTAACCGCGGTACCGCTGAAGACCAGTCCTGGAGCAAAAATTTGCATTTGGGTGGTGAAAATCCAAATGTCACATAAACTTGAAGATCTACAGGCAAAAACTAACAAGTTGATAGAAGAGGCAGCGAAGACGGGACTTCAAGTGAATATAGAGAAGACAGAGGTGATGAAGATACCGCACCAAATACTCCAACAACAACAACAAACTCCAATCACCGTCAACGGGAGAAACTTAAAGGAAGTAGCCTCCTTCACCTATCTAGGCAGCACTGTTTCAACTACAGGCGGCACAGGCACAGACGAGGATGTCAAAGTCAGAATCGAAAAAGCAAGACAGGCTTTCATTAGCCTGAAACCAGTGTGGAGATCTTCTGCACTCCACTCAGCATGTGGAACAAGATCTGGATTTTCAACACCTACGTCAAGTCAGTGCTTCTGTGTGATGTTTGAGAGACTTGGCGCGTTACGAAAGGGATTTCCAATAAACTACAGACATTCATCAACAACTGCTTACGCTGGCTCGTTACTGAAGATCAGATGGATGGCCAGAAAGAATAAGCAACAAGGAGCTCTGGGAACGAACCAACCAAGAAGCTGTCGCTCAACAAATATGCAGGAGGAAGTGGAGATGGATTGGGCATACACTGAGAAGGCCGACTGGGGACATCAGGCGTCAGGCCAGGATATCGAGTGGAATCCCCATGGGAAGCGACGAGTTGGACGTCCGAAGTGAGGGTGACATGGAGGAGGTCGTGCGAGGAGGAAATGCGAGCTTGTGGGCTCTCGTGGAGCCAGGTTCAAAAGATTTCAGAGAACAGAGGTCACTGGATACGTGCTACTGAAGCCGTATGTTCCGCTAGGAACCCAAGGGACTAATAATAATATTATAATAATTTCTTTATTGGCATACCGTTTAGAGAGATGAGTAGAAATTAACTTCAGATTAACTTCGCTATCCTATACCTCTGTATCGAGTTACTCGGCAACACTAGATTATATTTGTAGGTACCTTTTATACGATAAAAGATACCACTGGATACCATTTCTCCAGTATTCTATTACACTTCATATTATCATCCCATGAGTTATTACTTCATATCTTTATGTTTACATTCACAATAAGGATGGTAACATTTTTTTCTGGAGCACTTGACAATAATGATTTGTAACTTGTTTCTTTTTTGTGATATTATTTAGATATAGAGAAGAACTTCATTAACATTGTCAGCTATTCAAGCTGCCACATCATATATATCATGTCTGGATAGAAGATAGTAGACACGAAGACTGAAGTAAAAATAGGCCAATATAGTGACACAAAAACCGTAAAATAGAAAAATATGAGGGATTAAACTGCATAATGGAATGTGATATAACAACGGCGGTTGAAATAAAGTATAGATTCACCTGTACCACTGTAATCGATTCAAAATCATATTGCTGAATTTTAAGTAATCGGTTTCCATTATATCGCAAACCTGACCAAATTGGATGAATTTCATGTCCTTCGGCCAACATAACATGTTGGAATAAACGATGAATAACATTTAGCCCAACGACATCAGCCGATAAAAATATAAAATCTCATTAATCAGTCCATCTTATTCAATTATGAGTCAATATTTCACCACAAACATCATGTTTTGTGATCACAAAGTACAGCAAAGTGAACAGTTTTTCAGTACCCTCGAATGTTGTAGAACTAGCGGTTCATTTATTTAGGTGCTTAACGTTTGAACAGTGATTCTAAGGTCGACGCTTCTACCACTTACTTCGTTCTGAGCAGTCGTGAGCATATCAATATGATATGAGTCTGGACAATAATGTAGGTAGCGTTATCCAGTAGATAGTAATACCGTTTCATTGTGTGACATTTCTTATAAATAGACTGAAATGGTAAAGTTAACCTTATTAACAAAAGACATTTACAAAGAAGGATGTTGTTCACGCTTTATGCAGAGTCCAGTTGATCTCCACACTGACTTCAGATTAGTGAAAGACTGTCTTGCTTTTCCTATAGTGACTGGCTTTGACATCCTCATCTGTGCCTGTGTCAGTGCCACCGCATGTAGTTGAAACGATCCTGCCTCCCAGGTAGTCAAATGAAAGAGACTCCTTCATTTAGGTTTCTTCCGTTGATGGTGATTGGTGCGTGTTGTTGTTAGTGGTGGTGGTTGGGTATCTTCATCACCTCTGTTTTCTCTACGTTCACTTGAAGTTCCCACTTTGCTGTCTCTTCTGTCAACTTGTTGGCTTTTGACTGTAGTTCTTCGAGTTAGTGAGATATTATACACAAATCAATAATGGGCGAAATCTAAATCTTCTAACATTTCTTCATCGGTCCAGCATATGCCCATCTTCTCGCTCCCCACGGTTTGTTGCATGTTCCAGTCCACCACAATCAGGGAGATGATAGGTGATAGTAGCCGGCAACCTTGTCTTGTCTTACTCCTCTCTTCACTTCAAAGGCCTCACTGAGCTTCCCACTGTCAATCACTTGACATGTCGCGTCGTCATATACCTGTTGAATGAAGTTGATAAAGGTTAGTGACACTGGAAGCGTAGTGTTGAAGCAAGCAGTTGCCAAATTACTTCTTGATCGACGCTTCTATGGAAGACGTTTTCAAAGTGGATGAAGTTGAGGTATAGGTAGAGTGGACTGCGATTCTATTCTGTGTTCGTTGATGATGATGCGTAGCGTGGCACAGTGTTGCAATTTGATTGTCACATGATTTGTTCTTCGTGAAGCCAGCCAGTGTGTTGTGGTTGTAATTTTGAATGAGAGCATTGTTTAGTCTCTCCAGGATGATGCGGCTTAATATTTTGCTTGGGGTAGAGAGAGGTGGAGCATGATTTCGCATCAGTTCTTGCAAAGAGTTATGTTTCCCTTCTTTGGTAGTTTGACAAGGTAACCCTTCCTCCAATCAGTAGGCAACTACCTTTCCTTCCTTCATTCCTTGCAAATCTTCTCGACTAGTGGTGTGGTGTGGGCATGTCAACTGTTATCGCTGCTTCTGTTTTCAATGCTGAATTCCATCTAGTCCTAGTGCTTTCCAGGATTTCAGTAACATTATGGCGTTCAGGACTTCTGGTTTTGTCGGAGGGCTTGTGTTCATTGATAGTTCCGTGGCTGGTGGTGGTATTTCTGGATGAGCTACAGGTGATGGTCGAATCAAGAGTTTTTTGAAGTGATCAGCCCATTGTTCTTCTTTTGTTTCTCCTCTGTGGTAACAAAGTTTCCTTAACTATCTTTCATTGGTTCAGTCTGAGTTGATCTCTTCCCTGGTTATTTGATCTAGTGTTGTCAGGTCTCTGTCTCTCCTGCCTGCACCCTGTTCTGCTCCACTTGCAAGTGTGTCCTAAAAGTGTATTTTTTTCTTTGCACTCACTCGTCTTCACTTCTTTGTCCAGTGTAGTGTTTTATAGGTTGTGTTCAGTTCCTTTTTTTCGTTGTTCATCCCTGGATTGCACTGCACTGGTTCGTCTCCTTCACTACCTTCCTCTCCTTTCTCTATCACCTTGTATGTGTCCATCGAGATCAATTCCTTATCTTGCCTTTTCTTCTTCCTTCCCAACAGGGTTATACAGGTTTCCTTTCACATCGCTTTCACAGAGTTCCAGTGTTCATCCAAACAGGTTTCTTCGGAGATGTTGCTCGATATCTCCCAGTTTTCCTGTTGGCTGACATGAACATGTTCCTTGTAGTTTCGTCCTTCTCTTTCTGTTCTGGGTGCTGAACTTGAACTGTGGTCTATCACCCACCACCTTGTTTCAAGGCTTTCAACTTCATTTTGAAGGTAGGTTCCTTGCAATAGATAGTGAATGGCATGAACCCACATCTCCTTCTCTTCTTCATCTGATGTTGTGTCCAGTAGGCTGGCTGCGTCTTCACTTTCTTCATATTGAAAGCAAGTCGATGTGATATTTAGTGTGTCCATCTGGTGAAATCAAATCGGTGTCGCTCACTTTGCGAATATCTTTGTGTTTGTACACATTGCCTTCAATCACTAAATTGTTGAATGTGCAGAAGTCTGCAAACAGTTCTGCATTCTCATTCTTCATTTCACCGAGTGTTTCTCGACCGATGATGAGTTCTCTTCCTGTGTTGTCCTCTCTCTCTCTCTCTCTCTCTTTGAGTACTTTATATTTCTTTTGATTAAATTCTCTTTTCTCTACCTTACACTTCACTACCTTCCTACTTGATGTACTGATATGAGCTGTAGCAACTCGGACCGTTACGCAGTAATGCCTGGTCCTATGCTGATTTGACTGATGATGAGTTGGTGTAAGTAGGACAGTGTTCCTACTAATTGAAGATTCGTCAAGCATGCAAATCTACGACACCAGCAAAGGATTGACTTCCGAGGTGATCATGTATTGCTGAGAGTGTATCATAGCATTGGAATGTTATCCAGCTGAAACCAATTTGTAAGGTATCGATTAATTTGAAAGTGATCACGTTTATACACGCCATCATATGGGCACTGCTGAGAAGTTACAAAGCAAGAGAAAACAAACCTCCTGTCTTATCTGGTTATCTACACGATTACGAACCGATAAGGAAAGTTGTTTAGCAATAATCAACCTACAAGATGGAATCGGAAGTCTCATGGTTGGATGGATCGACCTATTCAGCATGATTTCCTCAAGAAGACATTTTAAATGATTATGCTGAAATCCAATGGTATGCACAATGTAGTGCGTTTCCATGTGAAACGCGATATTTTCAGAGTATAAGTCAGAATGAGTAAACAGGGAATGATGCAGTTATGTCAAAATCATGAAAATACAACTAATAACTACTGCCTAAAGATTGAAACCGACATTGCCTTCTCTGAGCTAAAGTGTTTAAACGTGGAGCTTCCGCTGTCATGCTAGACACAACATCATCAGCACAAACTTCAGAAAGATGTCAGTGGTAAGCTTGTCGCCCCCAATTTATGTGGTACTTTGTCTAGATGACCTTGTGTGTGATTGTTGTTTCTGACAAAGTCATATCATCAACTCCACTTCTATTTTGATTGGTTTTCCTGATGATATGAGATTTAACCTTCTTGTTGTCTCGTGTTGGTTGATAGATTGAGTCAATGTTAATATGTCTGTTCACGACTGACTCATCTGAATACCAACCTTCTAAAACTTCCCTGGCATTTATTGTATTTCATCTATCCAACCAGGGTTGGTGAACAATGATTATGGGGATTTTGGTTACTCATCTTTGTTTCCGATTTTTTTAATCTCCTCCACAATTTCTCTAGAGATTATGTACATTAATTTTTGTTTTTCAAGCACCCGTTTTCACTGTTGTGTGTATTAGCGCACTTTTCATAATTATGGGATACAATTATTCTCTGAATTTTTGAGGGGAGTTGTGGAGATTTGGACATATTTCAAGTTGTTATTCATCGTAGACTGACATCAGTTGGTGGGGGAACAAAGGAAACTGGGAGCATTGGACAGCCAACTTTTTCCTACTAGTATGGGACTCCTCAGCAGTGCGCACCCACGACCCCACACCAGCAGGGATCGAACCCTTGACCTTCAGGTTCCATAGCCAGCACGTTACCATTGAGCTGGCCACTGGATCAGAATCCAATGGTCCATATTTCCAATTTCTGTTAGCCCGCGATATAGCGCAACCGCCACCCAATGTCATCGTTGAGTAACTGTTCTCACGACCATCAGGCTTTGATTCCACCGGTGACGGGTTCTCATTGGAACTTCGGAAATACTTCTCGAAGCTAGTCACCAATGAGCACCAGTTCAATTGAATTTTGAGGGGAGATGTGGAAACAATTAATCTCTGTTTATTCATTGGACAGTTTTAAAAACACTCAGTTTAAGCGTTTTATCCGATCCTTCGATTAGTCAGTAGAATCTAACCTGTAACTAACCGTGAAAATCTTCTTTTCCGCCTAATCATCAACAGAATTATACAATCGAATTAAATCATATGGATGATTGGTTATCACAACATCCAACGGATGTTAGCGGTTGGAGTTATCTGGCTAGTATCCTAGAGGGTTTAGTCAATCATTGTATAGTTGAGCCATCTTCATCATCGACAGTGTCATTATTATCATCAGATAACCAGTTACAATGGAAAGATGTTAAAGAAATCCTTCAAAATTACTTTAATAAAATGCATAACATTTTGGAACTTTATCCGGAACGCGAATGTGTATGGATGTTTAGGTAAGTGATGTAATAAGTATAATATTCCTGAGTCAATCCTGCCGCAAATTTGTTTTAATCTTTTCTGTTTATGATTGCCTTAATCACGTGATTCTACTGATTCAGTCTTAACACTGACCTTGAATGTGATTGACCTTGGATATACTTGCCCAATCTTTCTAACTAAATCCACCTACACGATGAGTCACATGATCCCGCCTTCCTCACTCTTTCAACCCTGTACGATGGGACACAAAGTCTGATGTTTGTTGTCCGTATATGTCTGGTGATCTCATTCATTTGTATACACTAGCTAACTACCTGACCACAACGCATCACAATTTATTAAGATGATGTGTCTCACTTGTGATTTGAACACGCGTCACCTAGCGCTGCAGTTAGAGGTGTTACCACTGAGCTATCCCAGTGGCAGCTAACATCCTGTAGGACTGGATTAGTCACATTGATTGGTCACTAGAAGGTAACTAACATCATAGCTGCAGTACTGGATGACGCGGATTCGAATCTTAGGTGGGACTTCAGTTCCGTAGAGATTTCAGTTACGCCTTACTGAAGAGTGTCAACAAGCACGAAACCTGGGTTCAGAGCCTTCAACTAACATCTGTTAAAGTACATCGCGATGCTCAGCTGCCTAGTCTGGTGACCACATGAAGTTGGTTAACCTCCAGTCACCAATCAGTGTACATACTACTATTTATATAAAGGTGCAATGAAAATATGACCTTGAATTTGGATGCTTTTAACACTGTCCAACGAATAAACAGGGACTAACTGTATCCAATAATTATGAAAAGTGCGCGAATGCACACAACAGTGGAAACGGGTGCTTGAAAAAACAAAAATTACTGTGCATAACCTGTAGAAAAAATATTGGAGGAGATTAAACAATCGGAAACAAAGATGAGAAATCAATATATTGAAGTTGAATAAGTTAAACAAAGAAGTTATTAACCCGACCAATACTATAGCTTCCTTTGAGGTGGCTACCAGTGTGACCAATGATGCGCATTTTGTCCTATTTGGGGCTCATCATTTAAATTCATCTGGTATTCCCAATGAAGCGAAAAATCTGTACCTATCGTTTCAAACAACAGTGTTATTCATTCGGCTATATGCTCGTTCACCAATATGCTTCGATCAATTAGTCAAACATTTATAAATAACAACGAATACTACTTGTTAATAATAAGTAGTATAAACTTGAATGAATAAGAAAAGACGGCTTAGTAACAATGACATCTCGTTCACTGAGAGATTTGATGGCTCCAGTAGCACGTCTACAATGTGCTCTGTTCTCTGAAATGTTTTGAACTTGGCTCCACGACAGCCCACAAGCTCTTAGTTCTTCCTCGCACGATCTCCTTCATGTCACCCTCACTTCGGATGCCCAACTCGTCACTTCCCATCGGGGTTCCACTCGATGGCCTGGCCTGACACACGATGTCCCCAGTCCCCCTTCTCAGTATATATCCAATCCATCTCCACTTCCTTCCAGTGCATATTTGTTGAGCGATAGGTTCTTGGTTGATTTGTTGCCAGAATTCCTTGTTGCTCATTATTTCTCGCCATCTGATCTTCAGTAACGAGCCAGCGTATGTGGCAGTTGTTGATGAATGTCTGTAGTTTGTTGAAAAAGTAACATGCTCATCATCAGTTAGTTTGCTTTCAAAAATAAAAGTTGATTAGCTAGTTAGTTCATTCCTAACACTTTCTTTATCATACAACAGACGAGCTAAATACGATATTGTAGAGTTTTTATATTTAGTAGTATGTGCATAGAGTCTTATTTACTTGCTCTTCTCTTTCTAGATGACTGACAAGCAGAGAGCTTCGAATGAAGAGGATGTTAGTCATCTGATAAAATAACTCGTGTCATATGTCTACATAAGTTAATAGGTTTGTTTACAACACTTTTAACTAGAAGGTTAGCAGATACACCACTAGTTCTGCTGACAATCTTCATATTTCTATGCAGTATAGCATAGTCTTTTTTCAGTAACCTGGTAAAGAATAAAGGAGAGCAGTAGAGGAGAACAGACAACATGCAGGAGTTTATAAAACACAAGAGGAGAGACTGAATTATACCACATACTTTCAGCTTCCTAATATAAAAAGTTGGGTGGAAGATTCTTGTGGAAATTAGTGAGATATGCGAAGATCAGGAAAGGTACGAAGAGAAACACACACCACGATAAATCACACTTGTAACATCCTCTAATGTACAACTATCAATAGAACAGGAATAGTGAGAACTAAGCAGTTTACATAGGTTGTGTTCACGTTTAAAACTCAAGTTTTTCATGGTGTGACATTTTGAAGAATTAAGCAGAAGACTATTCATGGAAGAGGACCATCATCTAACAGTAGATAGGAAGTCATTCAGTTGGGAACAATCTGTTGAAGAGGAGACAGTTCAGGTATGCAAACTGTTAGGTCATCAGCATGTTTAATGAAATTGATACCAGCTAAAGATGGTAGATCATGCAGAAAGAATGAGACAAGACATCAGGGAAAGGGATGGCATCTTGGAGAACTTCAGTCACAGTAAGCAATGAGGTGGAGCACTTCCCTCTGTGAACAGTATATTGTTTCTTTTCAAAGAAATAGGAATGTAGGCACCTGATTATCAGGCTCATGTGCTTATTGGAATGTAACTAACTGATTAGTGTGATTAGCCCCTAGTCTAAAAGGCAACTATTCTCTTGGTTATTCTAGTTCACTAACTGAATGGGATTTTAAAAGAGCAGTTGTACTTTGAATTCGTACTATAATATAAACTGTTATTGTAGTGTCCCTCCACGATGACCTTTTCATGGTATTATGTTACTCATTATCAGATGGAATCCAGTTATCAAAACTGGATATTTTGTTGTAGACAATAGAGTTCCTTAAGAAGTGGAATAAGTTTTTCAGAGTAATTGTTGATGAGACAGTGATTAGTTACCACAAGATTCAGACCAGTGACTTTCTAATTACACGTCTAATGTTTTACTTTCTGATCCTATGACAAATCCCATGTAATCGATCCAAAAAGGGATCCGGTTAATCACATCACGTTAGCCAACAACTTCATTTCACTAAGAATTCTCAATCACTGATTCCTTCCTTTTCCGGGACGCAGACTAGACAGTCTATATCTCCCCACACGACTCAGACCAAGATTTAAAGATTTTATAGTCTTATGATAGGTATTGGTCTGGTCACTCTGAACCGTCTTTCGATCTAATCCAATTTCGTTTAACACGGCACGACCAGGTAGGTGGTTGTTCGGTGTGTGCAATACATGTCCAAGCCATCTTGGTTGACTTGCCTAGTACAATCAACCTGACCCGAACGTTGTTCAACAAAGCGTAAGCAATGCTTCGTTTCGTCTGTTTTTATGAGCCATGTCTCACAGCCGTATAACAGGACAGAATGGTTTGCAGCGCAGTATACTCATCCTCTGACAGATAGTCGGATATCTCGCCATTCGGCGCTATATGTGATCTCAGTTGACGAAAGCCAGTCAGGCCTTCTGCATCCGGACTGATATTTCGTCAGCAACCAGCCCATTCGATGGGTTGATGCAACTCTCCAAGCAAGTGAAGTGGTTCACATATCCCATCACTTCTCTCCCTATCATAAAGCTGGGAGTTGTTGCAGACCGGTCTTGAAGCACCATCTTACATTTGACAGGTGCCAGCAAAATGCATGCAAAATTTACTCAGATTTCTGCTCAACGCCTTCACAAGACCTTGGATTTTGTCAGCGTCTTCCTTCAGCAGGACAATATCGTCTGGATATTCCAAGTCAACCAGATGGCCTCCAGGGAGCAGGTCAATCCCTGTGAAGTCACACATACATAGGGTTGTCTCCATTAGTATGTCTATGACGAAGTTGAATAGGAACGGTTATAGTGGACATCCCTACCGGGTACCACTAGTTGTTGTCAACTCACTTGACAACTCTCCATAATCCCTGATGTGGCTGCTTGAGTTTGAGAAGAGAGCTTTGATAGGCGTTATACACATGTTCGGTACTCTTTTCACAGGCAGACACTATCACAACATCTCACGGTCGACAGAGTCAAATGACGCCTCCTTCAGGTCAAGAAATATAGCAGGTAGATGTGCCTGTGTTTTAGAACCTGTTGAAGAGTGAAAATGTGATTGGTGCACTCTCGATCAGGTCTGAAACCTTTCTGGTTTTCTCGAGTTTGCAGTTCTCAAGCTTCAATTAGGCATCGGATAACTATGAATGGTAGGATGTTGGATATATTATTATTTGTCCTTTGGGTTCCCAGTGGAACATAGGGCTTCAGTAGCACGGCTTCATTTCACTCTGTTCTCTGCAGTCTTTTGAACCTGGGTCAACGACTTCCCACAAGCGTTCATTTCTTCTTCACACACCATCTCCTCCATGTCACACTCCGACGCCCAACTCGTTTCCCATGTGGGTTCCACTCGAGGGCGTGGCGTGTGATGTCCCCGAATGGTTGAACACAATATTAGTCAAACTAATCCCCTTATAGTTGTTACAAGAAGATTTCTCTTCCTTCTTATCAACCGGATTGATCAGTAAACTAGACCAGTCTGATTAAGACTAACTATGATTCCCATACACTACCTAGTACCTTCGTAAAGTCTTTTATGTGACCATATATTGAATCTCTACGGTTTAAGTGCTCGATTTTTCAGACTGATTAGTATCTCCTTCTGTATTTACGTTGTTTTCTTGCATTTCAGTAGGATTTTCATTTTCTTTTGTGTACACAGCCTACTTCTTTGCATCTACACACACATATATATTTATGTATTCATTTGTTCAAATTATAGACGACAGCTAATTACACTATGGCTTCGTCTAAATTCCTTTGGAACAGATCATACTCATAATATAGATGTCTTGTTGAGTGAAGTTGAACCATTACTTCCTAGAATACATGATATTCTGATTAAATTGAAAGTATCCAATCAACTATTAAAAGGTTTATCATTCAATGAATTTTTAAATTGGTCATATAAAAATGATATTTGTTGCAAAGAATCATCATCATCATCATCATCATTGAAATGGATTGATCTTCTTTATTTACGCTATTTATTTTGGTTATCTGAATATGTAAGTGAAATGATTTCATTTCAAAGTGTATTGCCTAAATAATTTCTTTACATGATCTATTGGGGAAAAAAAGATTTTTTGGATTTATTTACTTTAGCTACTTATAATTTGTAAGTAGTTTAAAAATGTATATGTAACGTTTTTGTGAAACCTTCAAAATTGAACATCTCTTCTTCGCATGAATTAATGATATTCTGTTATTGTTATTGTTGTCCAGTATCATGAACATGTATTTTGTCACATCGATATATTCTGTTATTCGTTTTTTTGCACCACTTACTACACCTTATGGGACTAAAGTATAGTAGTCACGTGAAGGGATTATGTGAACTTTCTGGTGAATATTAAGATCACCAGTTTGAAACGAACGACTCACCAAATGACCTTGAGAAGCGTAATTATCCTTATTGGAATTATCAGTCAAACTAAGAAACTTTTAAAATGGCATCTTTCTAGTAAAAAATTATGTTGTAAACTCATAAAGATATGGACAGGATACAAAATATTTGCATAGGATATTTTTCTCACGAATATGTTGCATGAAAATCTCCGAATTTCTGTTACTGAGAGGCTGAACTAATCGTGATCGATTGAAGTACTCATCAAAGTGATCCGTTAATCCACCGTGTTCTGTTTTTAAAATGATCTCAGAAACGTGTCATGAAAGTCATATAGTTTACAATAATCGGATCTATCGATTTCGCATGATGGTTATCTATTAACGACGTAGGCCTGTGAAGATAAATGAGTGAATATGAACACCGCTCATTCCTGTTGATATGATTGGTGAATACAGGTGGATTTTGATTGGTTGTCCAAGGTCACTCGACTTATACTTGATCTGGGGTTGCTATTTCGTATCTTCGCCAACTTTTGGTTTTAGGATAGATGGATAAATCACCGTAGAATATGTCACAAAAGTGTACATTTGTTGAATATAGAAGTAAACCTTGGAGACTGGTAGATTAGAATCCCATTTTCATTTGCTTCCCAGATGTATCTCACATTGAAACAGTAGTATTTACTGAACACAACTTGTTCATTTGAGGTGATTCTTTGTTCATATCAATATTACATTAGAGTGTACCGACCTTCATGTTAGCTGTTTGACCATCTGTTGACGTTACTGCAAGAGCCCTCACTGCTGTGAAAAGACTGTGAACTACGTCAACTTCAGTGACTACTGTCGTAATAATGGCGTCTTCGTCACTTATCAGCTATGAAAGTGCATTTGTCTGACTGAAGTCTTTTGTGTGACTGTATTCAATCCCGAAGTCATATTCCTGGAGTATTACCGTCCATTGTTGTAATCGATTTGCTGGATTTGCAGAAATGCCCCCACTTTGATACAAAGAATTTGTGGTCTGTCAAGAGGGTAAATTATTCACCATAGATACGTTTTTGGAAGAGTAATACAGGAAAGATAAAAGCTAGAGTCTTATTCACCACGTGACTATATTTCAACTTCATAGGCGGTCGTGTTCAAAATGTCCCTGCATGACTTCATCAACTCACCAGCAACAATGTTAGATAGATTGGGATCATAATGACATTTCGATATGTTATTCTTAATACGTCAGCAGACAGGCCGGTTATATTAGGACTTACGTCTTTATAAAAATAGCACTAAGGATGTCATCAAGTCTGATAGTGAAACGTCCACGACAAAATATTAAAGCTCAGGTAACACCAAACCACTGTCAATAAAGAAAGTTTATTTCAGTTGGAAAAAGGTACGAAAAGGATAATTCAAATTTTCCACCACCATTAGGCTACAATGTTTACTGTGGTTTGGTAGGCTCATCACGTGTTGACTCAGCTACCCCCATTCGATGAATATTCATAATCTTATCAACTGACCTGTCTAGTTCTGTACACTTAACTTCAACAATGATCAATGTGTGGTTCTGTCATTCTAGTTATGGTTGTGTTCTAATAAATTCGCCCACCAGTGAAAACCTCATCCTCAAATTAAACTATCAATGCAGGATGAGTTCTGAAGGTGATTAGCTAACTGTTTATATGATGGGGAATATTTCTAGCTCTGAAGGATAATTTTGATGGTGTTGTGTTCTCTTCCGTTGTCGTGCTGGACGCAACATCATCAGCACAAACTTCAGAAATACGTCGGTGGTAAGGTTATTGCCCCCAATTTATGTAGTACCTTGTCTAGATGACCTTGTGTGTGATTGGTTGTTTCTGACAAGGTCACGTCATCAACTCCACTTCTATTTTGATTGGTTTTCCTGATGATATGAGATTTAACCTTCTTGTTGTCTCATGTCGGTTGACAGATTCGGTCTATCCAAATTCATCTTCATAGTTGTCTGTATGCATTGAGGTGATCGGAAATATGTGATAACACTTCACTGTTAATTAATGTTTATGTAGAAGGATGCAAAGAGGGGGGAATTCGGCCTATCTGATGTAGCAGTTTTCACAGTTTCTATTTACAGATTAATCAACAACATTCTTGACAACATCAAATTCACAACTGAAAAGGAATCATATCATAAAAATGCATTTTTAAATGTTGTCATCATTAGAACAGATAAAGGGAAATTAGAAACTGAAGTATACAGAAAACCGACTCATATGAAATAAATTCTCGACTACATTAGCAAGAACACGCAGAATCAGTTGCATAGAGACAGTTTTCAAAAGGATGAAAATATACTTTAGTACATGAATCCTGTAGAGAAAAGAAGAGAACTGCTTCACTACATTGAATAGTTCCATTTAAACGTTTAGAAAAAGAGATTGATTTCAGAAAAAGAAATGTATATTTTTCATTAGGTTCTCGTCTTTGGCTCTGTACCAATTAAGTAGTGTTGAAGGATTGTTGAACAATAATTATGGAGATTTTTGGTTGTTACGAAGATGAGAAGTTGTACAAATTAAGATGGAAATAATCAATAGAGTAATTAAAATTGGTAATATGATCCGGTGGTCGCTGGTTCGAATCCGGCCTTGGTCCAGATTTTCATCTCACCTTCAATCATCATCCAGTACAAATATGAAGTAGGCTATTCCTATGGTGAATGGAATGATTTTTGACTAGTTGTTTCAGTAATAAACAATAAGTGATTATGTAATGATTAGAAAATAAATGAATATTGTTAGAAACAAGGGGGAAAGAGATGTACAAAGTAATACTAGAAGTTACGTCATGTTGATGGTCACGGTAAATACAAAGATGAGGTTTGTTTGTAAAGGTGGATTGCAATCGCCTCTATTATGTGAAGGGAGCGAATGCGTAATCCACGTAGTAAATTAATTGGAATCTGATGAATAATTTTGAAAGCTTTTCTAGTATCTACTTGATGTCCTGCGTCAACTAGGTGTGCAAGAATGGAGGTCTCTATTATTCTAATTTCTCCCTTGATGGGTGGTGCTCAGAAACTCGACGATGAACCTACCTCATTGTACGCCCAATGTAACTAGCTCCACAGGAGTGACAGAATCAGGCAGTTTGCCTTCATTTCGTGCACTTGGAATCACGCTGTTGTAGAAGATGGGGCATAATTTAGCGGAAGAGAATGCATTCTTCGAGACTCTTCTCATACGCTGTATGATGATCTCACTGGCAATATCACTCTTAAATTTCCGCCCAAAAAAATATTTGCTTCTTAGAAACTATTGGCGTTCTTGTCTTAACCTTTATAACATTCATATGCTTGGTTGCAAACTTCGCTGGATAGCCATTCCTACTAAGCAGATCATAGACGGTGGCAACTCTTCGTCTACATCATCATCTAAGCAAATAGTTGTGGAGCTGTATGCTAGGCATTTCACCCGATTCCTTTTGTATTGGAGGGATACAGCACCAAGGAAGTGCATGTGTTGACCTGTCGATGTTGGCTTTCTACATACATTTTGATTCAAGATTCCATCTAACCTTCTTACCAGCAGAATATTAATAAATAGGATTATTATTTTTTCTTCCCCTTGGGTTCCTAGTGGAACATAATGGTCCAGTTGCACGTCGCCATTTCACTTTGCCCTTTGTAGCCCTTTGAACCTACCCACAAGCTTTCATTTCTTCCTCTATGTCACTCTCGGACGCCTAACTCGTCGTTTTCAATGCGGGTTCCACTCGACGGCCTGGTCTGGCGCGTGATGTCCTCAAACCGTCTTTTTAGTGTATATCCAATCCATCTCTACTGTCTCCTTCTGCATATTTGTTTGGCGATAGGTTCTTGTTTCATTGGTTTGTTACCAAACCAGGGTTCCCTGTTAGTTATTCTTATTATTCTGACCATCTGATCTTCAATATCGAACGAGCGTAGGTGGTAGTTGTTGATGAATATCTGTAGTTTGTTTGAAATACTTTCTGTAACACGCCAAGTCTCTCAACCATCACATAGAAGCACTGACTTGACATTAGTGCTAACTAGGAGAGGTTAGGAAGTTGGATACTGTCATTTTTATCCTCTTCGTTTGTGAATTGATTGCCGGATGAACACTAGTGAACAGTATTCTTATCAATCTCACTTTTGAGAACCTATGAAGGTATCATTTATGTAATGAAAATATAATTATGTTTGACAACTGCTTTCCAGAACAACGGCTATCCATGCAACTTCACCAAAATATTTTTATATAATTCGTCGTCAACCTGTAAATCTAATAAATGGATTGTCTTACCCTACATGAGTACATTTCTGAGGTCATGATTAGATTATTGAAAACGTCTTAGAATTGATCTAGCCCAATAGTCAATAAAATCCTTTCAGTCTCTGTTATGCAGACCAAAGGTTTCGATAGCAAAGGAAGACAAACCAAAATGTGTTGTACAAAATAAACTGCGAAAACCACTACATCAGATAGGCCGAATCCCCCTCTTTGCATCCGTTTACATAAACATCAATTACCGGTGAAGTGTTATCACATATTTCCGATCACCTCAATGCATACAGACAACTATGAAGATGAATTTGGATAGACCGAATCTGTCAACCGACATGAGACAACAAGAAGGTTAAATCTCATATCATCAGGAAAACCAATCAAAATAGAAGTGGAGTTGATGACGTGACCTT